TGGCGTCAGAAGCAAATTGAAGGGGGGGGGGGGCTTAAGTGAAAGAAAAAAATCAAACCTACAAAAAAAATCTTAACAAGCAAAAAAAAGAAATTGTGTCAATTGTCTAAACACGAAAATTCTATTTCGTGGGGGTTGGGGGGGGGGGGGTTATGATAGAACGTCTTCAAGTGCCAGTATTTTTTCCAAACACTACCATTTCCCCTTTTTAAAACTCAACTGCAACGAATCGGTTGAAAAAGTGTGTGTGTGTGTGTGTGGGGGGGGGGGGTAAACCTACGCCCCAATGTACGATGTCTATATTATGATTATTTTTTTTAAAAAAGTGGGGGCTAAGCCTCCCTGCCCCCACCCCCTCCGGTTCCGATACCTATGAATGGCATGTATAAAACGATCATATTTTTACCAACTTCATCGTGTTTTATGTATTCAAACACCCATGCAGAAATAATTTTTTTTTACCACATATCTTAAGCGGTTGGTGGTTAGGACATTCCTCGAGGTAACACTAATGTGCATTTTAATTCCTTTAAAACAAACAAATAGCAAAAAAAAAAAAAAAAAAGACGAAAGAAAAGTAAAAGAAAAAAAAAAATGATTTTTTTTTTAACTTGATCGTATTAAATAAAAAGCCGAGCCAGTTAACATATATTGTCTCTACTTTTCATATATCAATTACTATTTTTTTTTCTTCCGACGATTAAAAAAATTATCATTTTCATTAATTACACGTGCTTGGCTTTTTTGGTATTAAAGGGAATAAACCATACTCGTATTCTTATGTTTTCATGTTTATTTCACTACAGAACAAATCACATCATCATGAAATACATGTACTGTACCTACATGTAGTATGAAGATTAATTTAGAAGAAAATAAACCATATACGTAAGATTCTTCAACAGTGAATCACATACTTATTTCAAATGGAATATAAACCATATTATCATGCCATCTCATCAATAATATCTAATTATGAAAAAAAAAATCTTTAATTATGAGGAATGGAAGCCGTGTTTGAGCCTCGACTTGGTGAAATGTCAACACGTGTATAAATATCATTTAAACAGAGAATTTCATTCCGTAAATATATAATTATCAATATTTGTTCTTTACTTTTATCGAATTCTTAAATAAAAAATCTATCAATTAATCAATTCTTTGACATTGTGTTTCTTTAAATGTTAGTCTTTCGTAATCCCAGTCTTAAATTGTTTTTCTCCTAACTATGCCTCTTTACCTGTTTTTACGGGTTTGCGTGCATTGAAGCGAGAGATTCACACCTGGCATGCACTAAATAAACAAAAGGAATTGAGTTGTAGATAACCGATTTGTATACATAAGATAAACAAAGCCTTATAATGCGACCAAAGTCATATGTATCAGAAAGAGTATCATCAGGCTATTTATTCATCTATTTAAAATTGGTAAGTACAAAACATTGCGCGACGCACGAAAATAGAATGTCGCTGCGTCATGCTAAAAACTCAAGAAAAACCCCACTACTTCCATGACACAATGTGGAATGAAATCTGGACATATACCGCGATTCGAATATTGAACTCATGGCCGGAACCTGTATTACAGTAAAATCCGGAACCAATATTATGATTCTAAGGTTCCGGCCGGAACGCGAAACACCCGGAACGAATATTATGCGACAGCGGTCAGCCTGGTTCGATCGCCGAAGGCCAGATACATGTAGTTCAGATGGTAGAGCACGCGATCGGAGTTTCAGGGGACCCGAGTTCCAATCCCAGTCTGGACCGCTGCATTTTCTCTTCTCCCATTACATTTGGTGAGGTGCCATACCCTGGAATTGATAGATGAAATACCTGCCGGGGATGCTCCTTGGTTGGGGTCTTTGGAGTCCAAAGACCTTTAAGGAGGGAGGAATGTGGTGGTCAGCCTGGTTCGATCGCCGGTGGCCAGATAGCTCAGTTGGTAGAGCACCTGGCCGGAGTCTTATGATGGTCACTCCACCAGTATGACCATCATAAGATTTTTCTAAGGAAGTCTTACTCCAGTGAAGCTGGGGGAATTCGGACTTCAGATCGGGAGTACACCCGAAGAAGTTTCACTTCAGAGTCACACATCCACGAAGTAAGATATGCTTGTAGGGTGAGTCCTCCCTCATAGCTAGTCTTCCCCCGCATTAAATCTTGATTTTTTTCAAGTACTCTCTACACATATTCTAATCAGACCAGTCAGTAGAGAGAACTAAACCCCGACAGACGTTCACCGGAAGTCTTGCTCTAGATTGAGTCTGATCAAAAAGACGGAAATCTCACTCTAGGGCCATACTTACCCTCCAGGGACATACAAAAATAAAAACTCATACATGAATTAGAAACTCTTTAGTTGCACAATTTTAGGTAATGTCGTTCGTCTTCCAATGAATTCTTGTAATTCTTAAGTTTCTTTTTAGCCGGACTTATTGCTCAATGAGCAATTCGTGGCTATTGCCAAGCTGTTAGGGGCAGATATTGATGACCCATAGTCTTCAAAGTAAAGAGTAACGTGTAAAATTAGTAATTTATTCTGTCCCGCATTTGATCCTACAAACGCTCAATAAAGCAACAAAAATAAAAACGGAGTTTTCTCTATACAAATTTTAATAATGTCGAAAGTCGAATGACATGACTTCCGATAAAACCGGATGTTGCAAGAAAAATATTTTTTTTGTAATTTTGTAATACTTTCCAGACATGGGAAGTGTCCGAATGTAATTGGGTTATTTCAGTCATGGGGAGTGTTCTGGGTCATTTCAGTCGTGGGAAGTGCTCTGGGGCAATTTCAGTCATGTTAAGTGTTGGACTGTAATTGGGTAATTTCAGTCATGGGAAGTGTTATTAATTTACGCTATGTACGCGGTCACAAATTATCCGCGGAGATTTGTCCAAGCGTATTAAAATAAAGTTAAGGCATATAGTGATAGTCTAAGAAATCAGCGTAATTTTCTACTCGCGGATTAAAAAGAAATTGAGATTCAGCGGAATTATGACCCCGTGGAAAAAAGTACGTCTACAGTATTTCAGTCATGTTAAGTGTTGGACGGTAATTGGGTGATTTCAGTCATGGGGAGTGTTCTGGGTTATTTCAGTCGTGGGAAGTGTTCGGGGGTAATTTCAGTCATGGTAAGTGTTGGACTGTAATTGGGTAATTTCAGTCATGGGAAGTTTTCGGGGTAATTTCAGTCATGGGAAGTGTTCTGGGTTATTTCAGTCATGGGAAGTGTTCTGGATCATTTTAGTCATGGGAAGTGTTCTGGGTTATTTTTGTCATGGGAAGTGTTCGGAGTTATTTCAGTCATGGGAAGTGTTCTGGGTTATTTCAGTCATGGGAAGTTTTCGGGGTAATTTCGGTCATGGGAAGTGATCTGGGTTATTTCAGTCATTGGAAGTGTTCTGGGTTATTTTAGTCATGGGAAGTTTTCGGGGTTATTTCAGTCATGGGAAGTGTTCGGGGTTATTTCAGTCATGGGAGGTGTTCGGGGTTATTTCAGTCATGGAAAGTGTTCAGGGTAATCTCAGTCACGGGGAGTGTTTTGGGTTATTTCAGTCATGGGAGGTGTTCGGGGTTATTTCAGTCATGGGAAGTGTTCGGGGTAATCTCAGTCACAGGAAGTGTTCGACTGTAATTGGGTTATTTAAGTTCTGTGAAGTTTACGGGGTTATTTCAGTCATGGGAAGTGTTCGGGGATATGTCAGTAATGGGAAGTGTTCGGGGTTATTTTAGTCATGGGACGTGCTCGGAGTAATTTTTGTCATGGGGAGTGTTCTGGGTTATTTCAGTCATGGGAGGTGTTCGGGGTAATCTCAGTCACGGGGAGTGTTCGACTGTAATTGGGTTATTTCAGTTCTGTGAAGTTTACGGGGTTATTTCAGTCATGGGAAGTGTTCGGGGTTATTTTAGTCATGGGAAGTGTTCGGGGGGTAATTCTAGTCATGGGAAGTGTTCGGGGGTAATTCTAGTCATGGGAAGTGTTCGGGAGTAATTCTAGTCATGGGAAGTGTTCGGGTTTATTCTAGTCATGGGAAGTGTTCGGGGTTATTTTAGTCATGGGAAGTGTTCTGGGTTATTCTAGTCATGGGAAATGTTCGGGGTAATTCTAGTCATGGGAAGTGTTCGGGGGTAATTCTAGTCATGGGAAGTGTTCGGGTTTATTTTAGTCATAGGGATTGTTGGGAAGTGTTCAGGGTTATTTCAGTCATAGGAAGTGTTCGGGGTTATTTCAGTCATGGGAAGTGTTCTGGGATATGTCAGTAATGGGAAGTGTTCGGGGTTATTTTAGTCATTGGAAGTGTTCGGGGGTAATTCTAGTCATGGGAAGTGTTCGGGGGTAATTCTAGTCATGGGAAGTGTTCGGGTTTATTTTAGTCATAGGGAGTGTTCGTTGTTATTTTAGTCATTGAAAGTGTTCTGGGTTATTTTAGTCATGGGAAGTGTTCTGGGTTATTTCAGTCATAGGAAGTGTTCGAGGTTATTTGAGTCATGGGAAGTGTTCTCGTTTCTCATTTCTCGTTTATCGACATCATTGTGGTTAAACCGGAAGTAGTCGAGAAAAATCTTATTTTTTGCACGAATTTGAATGGTTAAAGTCATTACAGATTTTAGAGCTTATTCTGCGTCGATCGATCATCTCCGGTTAAAGAGAAAGTAGTTTCCAGTATTTTTTTCCCAAGATCCTTGTTATTAAATAAGAAAAAATAAATCTCGAAGGCTTTTCACATCAATATTAGTCGCTTGGTCTTCAGAATTGTGTTTTTATCATTTCTATTTGCATTCTTGTTCTACGTGTTCTTCCCTGAATCTAATGGAAGGTCTGCTTGCATCGCAAGGAACCAGTTTTGCTCTAGTTAGTCTTCCATTTATGGATGGACAATCTCCAACTACAATGTTTCATATATTTCTTTTTGTAAAGTCTTCCTGTCCCCTGAAACAAATATATAATCCTAAGATCTCTGCATATGTCTTATTTTCCATTTATTTCCACACAGGTTCAAACTTCTCAGGACAGGCATGGAAAGGGTTATGCAAGACGGTATCAAGAACCTGAAGTATAAGATCTCGAATAGGACAGACTATTTACTGTTTACTTATATTAACATTTCTTTCTGATTATTTATAATCTTGAAGAAAAAAAAATTTCTGTCATGTATTTACATGAAGATTACATTTACTTGTAATGTCGGAAAACTTGATTGCGCTTTTTCAAAAATAAAATATCTGTATATTTTTGGTTTGTTTATTTCATTTGTTTTATTTTTTTAAAAAAAGGTTTTCCCTGTAATTAGATTTTACTGAAGAAGAAATAAATGTGAAAGAAACTGATATTTCTTTACAAAAAGAGACACCGTAACACTTTTTAACTATATGAAGATAAACATGTTTAAGTTTGAGCTGGCTCCCCACGATGTTCGGCCTGCGCTACACAGGTCATTTTTACGAAAGCTGCGGTGAATGGGAAAATATTCTTTTGGCGAATTGCAAACCCCCCCCCCCCCCCCCAATTTTTTAACATTAGATAGATGGCAGTTTTGGGATCTGGACGGGGACAGAAAATAAACTACATGATTTCCATATGACTGCAAATATTTTACATCCCAACATTCAGCTTGACATGCGTTTTTCAAAAATAAAAACAGTTTCTTGATGTATCTATTTCTCTGGAAAACGGATTTCTTACAAAAGATCTTTACAGCAGACCAACTGACCAACATACAAATCCTCGATCCAGCCATCCCGAATCTACAAAAAGTTCAATTCCGTACGGTTTGTGTCTTGGAGCACGTCGTATTTGCTCCGCAGAGGAAAACTATCAAAACCAACGTGATAAGTGAAAAAGAATTTGCGAAAACGAGGATATTCCAGTAATGAAGTAGAAATTAAAAAGGCTTACGAAAGTCGCAACTCAATCGCTCGGATCTGCTAAATTAAAGAAAAAAAAAAATAAAACGCATTGTGATCGTACTCCCCTTTGTTGACCTTTTCAAAGGACTTTCCAATATTCATAACATTTAAAGAAACGACCAAAAAAAAAAAAAATCAAAAAAAAAAAAAAAAAAAAAAATCAAGAAAATTCTGACCAAAAAAAGAGACCCCAATCGTAGCTTAAAGAGACAAACATTTTGAAAGACATTTTAGTATATAAAAAACATAACAATCTATTTTTTAAGAAAGGAAATTTATGTGAGCCATGTGCGGCCAAAAATTGTATTTTGTTTAAAGTTATTGTGAAAACCAACTAGTGTGGAGTTTATAACGGAAACACGTTTCTAGTAAAAAAAATATTAATTGTAAATCTAGGAATGTTGTTTATAGAATTTTTTTTAAAAAGTGTGAAAAAATAGTGTATGTCGACGAAACTGGTGATAGTTTATACAAAAGACATGTTTTGAATTTGTTTTTAATTAGAATAGAAGGAAAACATATGACCCTGTGACTACTAATTTTGATTCAGGTGTAAATACTGAAGATTATTTAAGAAATAAACAACGTTATTCAGTGAACATGGCGTTATGAATAGCAATTGCTCTGCTGGCATATTCCATAATGCGTGCCAGCAGAGCTTTTGCTATTCATAATGCCATGTTCACTGAATAATCGTTGTTTATTACTTATATTTGCATTCTTAGTTTTTTTTCTCAAGAATATTAGAGGAAATCCTGACTTACATAAGGACGAGCTTCTTGTCTTCAGTAAAGAAAAACATACGGCTTTAAAATCAGTAAACCTGATTAATGCTCCTTTAATAAATCACAAACAATTTATAAAGTATTTCCCTCTCAAACTTAGCTGCAGATCTGTAGCTCTCCGAAAAAATTATATATTGATAGACCGGAGAGCTACAGTGCCGCCCATTGAAAAAACTGTACATTTATTGCGCACAAAAAAGTGCGCTCGGTTTTCGATTTATTTCTCCGTGTTCCAAAATTTTACTAACCTTGTGTTCCTTACATATTCTTTGACTCTTTCCACAACAAAACATTCGTCATAATGGTTGTTAATAGTCCTCCTGATGCTGATATTGTAATCATCGAACATTTCGCTTATTTATACTGCCATTTTGGTTTCGAAGGTAATTCGGTCCAATATGCTTCGTTCAGATGTCAACTTCGAGAGTACTTGATAGAGGAGAGAGATTTTCTAAATCTTCCCTTTTTTGCAATTGAGGGAAGAATTTGGAAGAAATAAACAAGAACCGAGCGCACTTTTTCTGTGCGCAATAAATATACAGTTTTTTCAATGGGTGGCACTGTAGCTCTCCGGTCTATCAATATATATTTTTTCGGAGAGCTACAGATCTGCAGCTATCTCAAACTCAGTTATCTGATTACAAGCAGCGCCGTCATCACATTTTTGTTTTGATACAGTTGTGACGTCATCGATCAATGTTATTGAAACCCTCTGACAAAAATAAATAATTTAACACTATGATGAAAAATGATAATTTTTTTAATAATAATTATTACTCCAGAATACTTTTCTATATTTCTTTTTAGTTTTTCTATTTATTTTTAATAGCTGAAATCATTCTTGAAATAGAAATTTTCTCTTTCTGAATGTTATAACCCAAGTGTAAGGAGTTATCGTTCTTTGTACAAATATGCATGGTACGAAAGAATAAAAATATGGCAGTTCTCTACGATTTAAAAAAAAATATTATACAATTAAATACATTGACCAAAACTGAATTTTTTAAGATATAAATCAGCAATTTTAAATATTCTGAATTTCCTTTTATTGAAAGAATATTATTAAAAATTTATTTTTATTCCTCTTACAAAACATTTCATATATATACTTGTCAACACGTATTATTAGTGTAGTAATGTGCTACACTAGTGTGATAGATCTAGAGCAATTGCAATTATAGTAGAAGCAGTTGCGTCTATAGTCCTATGAACGCAGTTGAAGACTACATGTTCATATTGGGAGAGAGCAGCGGACATGTAAATATAATATAATAGGCAATGAAAAACTGTATATGAATGATATTTACTGTAAATATAGAGAAAATCTTTGGAAGAAGTTCAACACTTACGTGACATTTTGTATCAACAGAGGGGAGCACTGTGGCAACGCACTTTGAAAAAATTACGCACTTTGAAAAAAGTTTTTCAAAGTGCGTTAAAATTAGGACAAAATCAACGCACTTCGAAAAATTTTTTCAAAGTGCGTTAAATTTGGGACCAACTCAACGCACTTTGAAAAAAAATTTCAAAGTGCGTTAAGAGTCTACATCAATATATTTTATCATGGAGACACTTATCGCACTTTGAAAAAAATCATATTTTAGTCATGGAAAGATTTTTTTGTTATTTATCTTTCAAAAAACTAAGCCTAACCCTAACCTCAAAAATGAATTGATTTACTCCCGTCGAAAAGAGGAGAAGACGAGTATAAGATCCCTCAGTCCAAATCTTCCAATACATAGGTGTCGGTTACAAACGGGGGAGGGGATCAATAAACCTAAAAAGGGTACACTTCCTTTTTAAATGCTTATACGATGCATATATCTTTCCAAAATAAGTGGGAGGCTAAGCCCCCCATCCCCTCCTCTGGTCCTTCGCTCAGTTTCGATTTCTATGCTATACATGCAAAGCATTCATATAATTATGTATTTACCTAACTGGTATGACGTTGGAAACTTTCAATAATAAATGAGTTAATTAAAACAGATGAATACTAGAAATTTTAAAGTACAGTAAAACGTACACATGTGAGAAAAATAATTTTCATAGTTTTGAACAATCGAATTGGCCCCTTTTTATTATGATAAATGCTAAGTTGCTTGAAGCTGTCCTCTGTTAGTGCCCCCTATACACCTTTACATCTACTTATCAAAGACTAGAATTTAAAAAAAGGGAAACTAATTAATGAACTTAAACAATCGTCACTCTTTTTTTCAAGACCCTTTAATTTTCCCCCTTTTTTTTATCAAAACCTTAAATATTTATATTTAAAACGTCAATATCTCAGGTCCTAAAGTGACTTTATCATAGAAAGTTATCAAACCAGTATCTGTTATTGATCATACCGATTATTTGAAGGAATATTGATCAATCTTTACATTTTTTCAAAGTGCGTTAATATGGCCGATATTAACGCACTTTGAAAAAAATTTTTTTTTCAAAGTGCGTTAGCTTGGTCCCAAATTTTAACGCACTTAATTTTTTTTCAAAGTGCGTAATTTTTCAAAGTGCGTTGTAACAGAGCACTTCTGTCTTTGAATTGCATTTATGAAAATTTGTGTGATATCGTGATACTTCTTTTCATAGATATACACTTCAGTTCAAAACCTTAACATCAATGTACTAGTTTTTTTTTACAATTTTGTCTTTCAATGACAATACTTACCTGTCAAGAAAATTGTAATCGAATGTGTAATTACTCGACCGTGACCGTTTTTGTTAAAAAGCATGAAGTTCGAGTTGCATGTTTTTCGGGTGTATTCTTCATATTTTTTTTTACTTCCATGTGTTGTCTATCTTTAAGTAATTGCGAAAAACAGAAAAAAGTTTGATTAAAATGCGGTGTATGTCAACACAACAATGTGAAAATGAAATTAAATGGCCCAAGCTGGTCGTAGTTAACTAGAGTTCTGTTTCCTTTGACTGTATGACTTTATTTGACTCAAAACCTTTATAATTATCGCCAATAAAACCTACAAAGCATACCTGAATTCATTCTTATCATTAGAAATCGCTAAATTTTCAACAAACATTACAAAATCATCCTAGAGTTTATACGGAAAAATCAATAGAACCGGAACCGGAAGTGCCCTCCCCTCAATGTCAAACTGGAGGTCTGGGATACACATGTAATAAGACATTATGTAACTTTTGTTAGCTAGGCACAGGCACTTTCGGTGTATGTCAACACAACAATGTGAAAGTGAAGTTAAATGGCCCAAGCTGGTCGTAGTTAACTAGAGTTCTGTTTCCTTTCACTGTATGACTTTATTTGACTCAAAACCTTTATAATTATCGCCAATAAAACCTACAAAGCATACCTGAATTCATTCTTATCATTAGAAATCGCTAAATTTTCAACAAACATTACTAAATCATCCTACAGTTTATCCGGAAAAATCAATAGAACCGGAACCGGAAGTG